TAGCATTATGAGAATTACATTTCTTTTTCAGGTTAAATAATATCCCATTGTATGTACATTTTGTTTACCCACTCATCTGTCAATGGATATTTGGGTTGCTTTCACATTTGAGGTATTGTGAATAATGCTGGTATAAATATGTGTGATGATTTGAACATGTTTCTCAAAAATTCATATGTTGAGGTTTGGTTGCTATTGTAACAGTATTAAGAGGTTAAAATTCAGGCCAAACCTGTAACATAGTAGTCAAATCCTGTGTAGAGGAAGCCAGATCCCATATGGCCTATCAAAGTTTGAGTCCTGGCCTTAGTGGCTCAACAAACATGTTGTATATGTGTGTGTCTGCTTAGGATTCTGACTGGATGGAGAATTGGAGGAAAAAGGATTGCAGCATGACCAGGCCCCATGGAGGGATGCTTTCCCTCTTTCTATCTACCTCTCTCTATCTCTCTCTATCTCATGCACTCACATACACTTTTAATAATAAATTAAAAAAATACACTTTGGCATTAAAAACAAGCAAACAAAAACCAGGGTGAGAACTTAATTAGACTATGGTATTAAAAGGTGGGGCCACTGGGAGGAAATTAAGAAGGTAAGGTCGTCAGGGCAGGGCCCCCATGATTGAACACTGGTGGTTTTGTAAGAAGAGGAAAGAGACTAGAGCTGGCACCAGCTCGCACCCTCTCATCAGGTGATGCCCTGCACTGCCTCCCAACTCTGCAAAGAGTTTCTACCAGCAAGAAGGCTCTCACCAGAAGCAACCCCATGACCTAGGACCTCCAGAATCTTTATTCTTTATAAATTTCCCAGTCAGTAGTATTCAGTTACAGCAGCAGAATCTCAGACTGACATGATATGAGTGCACAGTTACCTGTTTTGAGTTCCTACTTTCACTTTCTGTATTTGTACCAAGAAGTGGAATTACGTCATCATTCTAAGATTATTTTTTTTCCCAAAACTAGTGTACTGTTTCCACAGTGAATGTAAAATCAAATATTTTTTAGACATATCTTTAATTGATGTCCACAAAGGTTGCGATAATTAATAGATGAAGACATAGTCCTCAGTAAGAAGTTCACTCATTGGATTATGTGTTTTCATTTTAACTTTTAAGAGCTACAATAGTTTACTTTCATTTTTTTTCTTTGCTTCGAAGTGAAGTAATAAATTATGGTCAATAGTTGTATTCTCTCAAGGGTATAAAGAAAGACTGATAGAAAAAGTGTGTGTTGAAAGTTCTTTTCTAAATCATGTGACACTGGAAACTAATAGATTTCCTAGAAATGACAGGAATGGCTTATCACATCATGGCTAAAAATTAAACTAAGAAAAATCTCTGCTGCACTTTAAATTTTAACTTTCAATGAACAATTAGAACCTGACAGCAGCACCATTTAAATAACGTATATCATTGGTTCTGCTATTTTTCTGCTCCTTATCTGATAATAATCTGAATAACTTTATATTTTGTCTTCTCTGGATTTCTTTCTATCAACTATTTATGGGTAAATATTTAAAACAAGTAACTAGGGTGATAACAACCTGGGTGCTTTCCAGAAGTTTTACCCAAACAGCAAGGGGCTTTGGATGTTTGGTCTTCATTCCATTCTCTGCCAATTTAGCCTTTTCTGAGTACCGGTACTGTCAAAAATCAAAGATACTACAAAAATGAAAAGCCCGTACAATATAAATGAGAGTGTATTTGAACTAAACCCTTAACTGAGAGACTGATTTGGAAACCTTTAGTTCCTTAATAATGTGATTTTTTAACTTAGCTATTTCATCACAGAAATATGACAGCACATTGATGTTCTAGGTTTCAAAAAATATTTCCAGGTTAAGCTTCTTCAAGAAGAAAGGCTGATAAAATGATTATCATTTTTGACAGCAGAGCATCATAAAATGCCCCTTTGACCCATTCTGGTCTGCTTATTCCCAGGAGTAATAGAAAACTAAGGCCAGTACTAAAGAATGTTTACTTTTTTTATTTTAAAATACAATAGCATTTGGTGCTTGACTGACAGTAGTGTTTAAATAATTTATGATATAAAAACAGGAGTTTACTGGGTCACTGGAAAACTCATGATCTATTTTTCTGTTTTCCTATGCAAAAATGCATCATGAGTTTTCCGACAACCCAATAGTAAGGACCCAGTTGCTGTTTGCTAAAAACCTAGTGCTGTTAAAACTGAATTCACATGATCTCTCCCTTTTATTTGAACACACTTATTCACAACAGTTCAATAAAATTCCTGAAAGGAATCTCTTGCATATTAATTTGAAGTTTTGGTAGGCACTTTTTATTTCAAAAAGAAATAAAATCCAGAGTAGTTCCTTTCAAACATTACCTTTTAAAGGAGTAAAGCCATAGAAAGAAGAGCCCGCCTGTGAAATCCATCACAAATCTTGCTCAAATGGGTTTCATGTGGGCAGTGGTGAATTCAGTCACTTCCATAAAGAAAAACTGAAGGCATTTTTAACATGAACCTTGTATATAATTTCATGTCTGGCAGCACGGGTGCCTAAAATACATAACATTATAAATAATGGACTTTTAGGCCTCTCCTTAACAACCATTGTCAGGTACACATTTATATGGCTTCATGGCTGCAGCATACAGCCAAAGTGAGAGCCAGCACTGAAATCACTCTAGAAGCCTCCTTTGACCCATCCATTCATTACACAGTCTCAGTATGAGCCCCAGCCATTCCTCGCAATATTCAACTCTCCTGGTACTCATACCTCTGCAGTTCTTTTTTTTTTTTTTTTTTTTGAGAGGTTTTTGCTATAGGGCGCGTGCGCTCGCCAGACAGAGAGAGACAGAGACAGAAAGCAGGAAATCACCTCCCGGGGGGATGGCCACGCTGCAATCCCTTCTCCTCCAGTCTCCTCTCGGGATCTTGGGCACGCACGCACACACGCCTAGCGTGAGTTTAAGCCACCGGGTCCGGGACTCGAACCGTGGTCGACTACATGGGAGTCCAGCGACATAGCCATTACGCTAACTGCTGGTCCCACCTCTGCAGTTCTTAACCTCTACATTTATTCTTGTCTCACCTTCTCTTGGGCCCTATTTTTACCGCCTTCCCTGTTTATAGGGTTCACCCAGACACCCTCCTTAAAAACCACTGTGGTCCTCAATATCTTCCCCCTGCCTGTTCCTTTTCTCAGTAATTTTTCACTCTTTTGTCCTCTTTAAAAAAAAAAAAATAAATGGGGTTGGTAGGTGGTGTGGTGGTAAAGGACACTGGATGCCACAAAATCAATGGGGCTCACAGGGTTGACCATGGTTTGAGTCCCGGACCTGGCAGCTTGCTTTCTCACTTTCTTTCTCTCTCTCACTCTGTCCCTCTCTGGTCAAATAAAATTAAATAAATAAAGTTAAATAATTATTTTTTAAAAAATCAAAACCAAGAGCTATATATCCTTTCCTCCTCTTGTTTTCCTGACTTAACCATTTAAGTAATTTACCTCTTTGCCTCTTAACAAAGTCCTCCATTCTCTACTAAGAAGGTGGAGAATGGGAGTGTAGGGTAGATATCAACCAAACTGGGTTCTAGCCCTGGCCTTGAACAAGGTACTTCTTTACATCTGCTTTCTTATCTATAATTGATTCGAAATAGTTCCTACCATGTGCAAATTGCTCTAAAAATTAAAGGTAATCATATATGTGGGGTCTTAAATGTTCATGAAACATGCATATTATGAAAAACATGTACACGGAGTTCACTTTTTTTTTTACACCAAAATAAACTGACACCTTAATTCCATTTTTCCCCTTACATACCTGTGACAAAGCCTGATGAGCTGGCTTCATTAAACTTCAACTATCATTACCATTAAATCCCTAACTACTTTTGAAATGATATTGTATGTTCTTCTCATCTGGTTACCATCATTCTTCTCAGATTTCAGGATTAACTTGTGACCAGTCGCGCATAGCACAGAGGTTAGGAGCCATGCACTGGGCACCAGATCTCACACAGCTGAGTGGTTCCAATCTTGGCTGCCATGGCTCAGAGAAGACACCCGGATGTGCATCTGCCTATCGTGAACCCTGATGGGATGGAGAAACAGAGAAAAGACTACTGTGTGACCATGCGCTACGGGAGGTGGGGAGGACACATTTTCTCTCAATTTCCCTTCTCTCTCTCTCTCTCAATTTGTCTTCTCTCTCTCTGGCAAGCACATGAACCAGCTGGTAGTCTAAAAAAATTTTTTTAAGTAAAGAATTCAGGATAAACTTAACTAATTTCAATGGAATACTGAAAGGTATTACTGTTCATTGTGGCATGTGCTCTTAGTTCCATGTTGCAGACAGACTTGTGTAAACTCCCTAAGCCTGTCACATGAAGGACAGGGCCTTTTCAAGTGCTCTAGCACTCCAGTTTTAAAGATGAGGAACCTCAGGCCCAGGGGGAAGGAAACGACAACAAAACTGGAAATACAAACCTCACGTTCTATGTATTCAAGATGGGGATCCAGTTCCTGCTGTGACACCACGGCCAGAGCACTGCCTCTACTTTGTTACACATAGAGAAAACACATTGCTGTGAAAGGCGTTGTTGTTTCAAAGTATTAAGGAGTGAGATATTGGGGAATTGCAGTTGCTTCCTTTTCCTGTGAGGATCTAGTCCCCAATTTTTTCGATTCGGCCAAACTAGAGAGATGAGAAACCTTTCCTCCCAAGAGTATCTGCAACAGACCCGCTCAAAAGAAGCGGCTTCCCAGCCCTGCGGCTGGGCAGATCCTGCAGCACAAGGGTGAAGCTCTAGCAGGCCAAGGCCTTTCAGGCAGAAGCCAAATCAAGGACTGGAGCCGGGCCAGGAGGTAGTGGGGCCTGATGGGTGTGCTCAGGCCTGGAGGTGGGGCCGGGCTGCACCGCTGGGTGTGTCCTCCAACCAGAGTGAGGTGAGGCGTGTCTTAGGGGCGTGGCCTAGGGTGAGTGGGGGCGGGCAAAGACCCACGGGGCGTGTCCTATGGCCAAAGTGGGGCGGGGAGAAGACCAGGGCGGAGGTGAAGTGGAAGGAAAGTGAACTGACAGAAAACACCCGAGAAGTTGCCTTTCCGAGGGTCCCCGGGGAGAAATCGGCGCGCAGAGAGGAGAAAAGTAGCTTAGGGACACCGAACCTGTGGGCCTGGTAAGAAGTGTGGGGTTCTCTGAGTGTGAATTCCTGCAGGGATACCCCACGAGGGCCAGTCCTGGGGAAGGATTTTAAAGCGGCCTGCGCTTTGGCCTTGCACTTCCCCCAAAAGCTCCTGGAGAAGCTGCAAAGACCGTGGGCATGGAAGTGAGCGCCGCGCAGGCTTCCAGAGCTGAGACCTGGGAGGCTGGCCTGGGCTTAAGATGCTGGATCCACTCAACAGAAATGCCCTGAGTGCGCCGTTGGGCTACTGAACTAGGGTGGAGGTGATGATTCCGTGCTTGTTCTCCCTTAATAAGCTTTGGGCATTATACTTCTGGGGTTTTGGGGGGGGGGGGGGGTATGGTGTGTTTTT